GATACCGATAGGGGGCCGATTATGTCGTGCATCCCTAGTCTCTAGTTCTGCTTTTCGTTACATTAAACGTTTCTGTAGATGTAATTAGGTTGATCTAAAGCCCTGGAGGGCAGCAGTTTGTGGTCATGTGTTTGTGAAGCATCATCTCAGCTTCCAGAAGGAATCTTCTTGTATGAAAAGCAAATATCTGTAACATAAACTGTTTGTTTAGGGAAGAAACGTTGATACTTAGGAATGAAGAGAAAAAAATACTTACAATGAGAAAACCAAGAACATAATGGGGCCTTTATGGCACCGCTGCTTTTTTCAATATGATGCAGATATCTTTTTTATAGATAAGACATAAATCTTATGTTGGTGACATTAAAGTTGATGAAATGAAACGAATTTTAGTTTTTTTCTGTTTGTTGCAGGCTAACTGTTGACATGCACGCACATGCAGCTCTGCAACACCTCAAGGAAAATCAAAACCCATGAAGTCATATAAAATGTTGCGTAACTGCTGAAAGTCTGTTTTATGCAGCAGCTGATGGTGGAAAAAAAGAACAAACTATAACTTGTGATTTCACGTTAAATTCTAATAGACTGAGCAAATGTTCAACAGCAACATAATCAGATTTCTTTCAACAACGTATGGCAAAAACTTGAGTTCATGGTTGGAGTTTCTCTACGTTGTCATTTTTCATGCCAGTACTAACTTGCCAATCGTGTTTGATCCATGAAATTCTTGGAACGATGACTTAGTTCTGCTTCCTCATGAGTAGATGCTTGGTCCTGTGTGATCACAACCTGATTAATCACACATTTTTAAAAGCAGGAAGAGTTTTTTGAAGAATGAACAGAAAATAAATGATGGAAACTAAAGTTTTTCAGACCCAGACAGTGTGTAAAGTTTAGAACCGTAGTCCTGCAGCATTCAGACAAAGCATTTTCCTAATGCCTCCTTTTAACTGGCTGACCTGCCCTAAAATGCTGGAGTGAGCGTTTCTGTGACCAGGGGCGGATTTAGGAATTTTCGGGGCCCTAGGCACACTGGAAAAACGATCTAGATATAAGTACAAATTTCTTAAATTAAGTGTATTTATCCTTAATTTGAGTAGGTAAATTAGATA